TATATTTATTTATAGTGTATTGTAGAAATGGTCTCAACGACAACGTTCATACAGTACTTATAAATGACAGAAAATATGCTTATAACTTTATTTTTTAAAGCATGATGATTTTATACAATTAACTCCCTGCCCTATTTTAAAAGTTGATTTTACATTGTAAAGAAATAGAAATTCAAGATATTGGCATTTATAGTGATGGAAAATTAATTTATTTCGGTATTGATCAGAGTATAGGCAATAATAATAATAATACCGGTATAAAAATTATATTCTAACAACATCAACTATATTGAGCCTAGCGATTTTTCATTGGTTTCCAATTTCCCTCATTTTAATAGTTTAAAAGTAGGCATACAGTTACAATTATCATACAATTTAGACACCCGAATATTTTAATAGATCATCGCAAAATTGTGACCCCCTCGCCCCTCTCCCCCCTCAAGATGCGTGACTTCATTTATGGATGCCCCTTTAATAACGGCACTGTAAGATTAAATTGTATGAGATCGTGCCTTCACTTTTAATTATCAAAAAAATGTGAATGATCTAATGCAGTGGTCAAATTTGACGTTAAGTAAATAAAAAAAATAGGTCAAATATAACAGAAAAAACCATCATATTTTAAATTTACTGAGCTTCTAGATACGTTCATCTGCTTTAAAGAAGAAAAAACATAAACAAATCAAATAGACTTCTCATTCAATCTATCACACTCATAAACTTCACGAAAATTACAAATATTATTAACTGGACGACGATCCGGCGTCCTTCTGCACGAACTAACATTTTTTGAATGAACTAAAAATGCATTTTTTTTTTTTTAAAGCAACACAACTATAGAACTGCATTTTAAGGTGGTTACTATCCAACCCATCTCAATGTGCAGTAGGAACTGTGGCATGTGAATATAAGGCATGTAAAGCATATTTTAAAGCACGCTTTTAGTGTTTTTTTAATCCTCAGCGAAGTTAATGTGACGAAGGTAACTCTTATAAACCAACGGTTGCTGGGGTTCGTTCTGTCTGTATGTGCGTAGATGACTGATGGTGGCATCAAACGTATAAAGTTCTTTGACAGGAGTGTAAGAGATAGGAGCGTCTCCGGGTGCAATAGTGACACGAGATTTTCTAGAGAATACAGTACTAATTGAGATTTAAAACAAGCCAAGGTTACTATGCAGGGTGTCAAAACTAATTCAATAATCAATGGGCACCTTTCTGCTTAATATCAATTTCATTTGGTTCATTATATTAAAAAGATATGTTCCTGTACAGAGCTGTAGAGCACGGCCGACGACGACGTGATCAGAGGGCTGTGTGTGAACAGCTTTTTTACGACTCTGACATTCCCTATTGGTTTGTTCATACATCTACTTTAGGCGTATGTCCTCCAGACTCTGGTAGATGATGCCGGGTAGTGTTGGATCCATTTGAAAATCAAGTTTTATTGCAAGGTATTATCTGGATAAGTGAAATTAGTATGACTCTGACTGCATTAAAATCTGTTTAAAATATGACACAATTGCCCAGTCGCAATCCAACTAATAAAAAAGAAATTTAAAAGACAAACAAACAAACATAAAACCCGGTAAACATTATTTTATGTGTCAATGAACTTAATAATGGAGTCGTACAACTAATTCATTCCACATTTTTCAAAGAAACAATCTCCTTCTAATTCACGTTGCACTTGTTGAGATTTAAATATTTGGTGTATTTTATTTACCTTGTCCTATGTTATTGTTTGGGGACGTCCATTAATTACGTCAAAAAATAGGTTGGGGGGGGGGGTTGGAAATATTTGACAGTTGTTGACAGAGGGGGGGGGTGGTTTAGTTGGCGTCAACAATCATGTTTTCTCTTTTAACATTTTATTCTTAAAAATTGATTGGTTATAGCATTATTTAAAAAAAAAATTA